AAGGGATCAGTTATCAGGCATCAAAGAACAAAAAATCACATCATTGTGTGCTCACCTCCATGATATGATCGCTGAAGACAAATGGGTGCATAAGGAAATGTGGTGAAGAAAGCCGATGGTGCCTGGCTATCAAAAGACATAGCGCCTGGGGCTTTAAAGGCTTGAAGGTAAACAAGCGGCCTTCTAGCTCAGAAGCAACAGAGCCCACCTGGAAGAAGCACAGCAGCCTGTGTGATCACGAGGTGTCAAGGGATCAGGTACCAGGCATCATAAGAACAAAAAATCTTATCATAGTGATTGAGGGGGAGAGTGCGGAGTGGAGACCCAAAGCCCATTTGAAGGCCACTGGAGATCCCCTTTCAGAGGAGTCTTGGGGAGGAGAAGAGCCAGTCAGGGAGGGATGTAGCAGCGATGAAAAATACAACTTTCCTCTAGTTCCTAAATGCTTCCTCCCCACCCCCACTATCATGATCCGAATTCTACTTTGCAAGTATGGCTGGACCAGAGGATGTACTCTGGTACAGATGGGAACTAGAAACATCGGGAATCCAGGGCACATGATTCCTTCAGGACCAGTGGTGTGAGTGGTGATACTGGGAGGGTAAGTTGGAAAGGGGAGGGACAACAGAAAAGTGGGTGAAGTAAGAAGTCGGACAGGGCAAGATATGTCAAAATAATAATTTATAAATTATCAAGGGTTCATGAGGGAGCAGGGAGGAAGGGTAAAAAAATGAGGCCCTGATGCCAGGGGCTTAAGTGGAGAGCAAATGTTTTGAGAATGATGAGGGCAGTGAATGTACAAATGTGATTTACACAATTGATGTATGTATGGATAGTGATAAGAGTTGTATGAGCCCCTAATAAAACTATTTTTAAAAATGATAGTGGGGGGTTGGGTGGGGAGAAGCATTTAGAAACTAGAGGAAAGTTGAATGTTTCATCTTTGCTACATCACACTCTGGCTGGCTTGTCTCTTCCGTGAGACCCTTCTGTAAAGGGATGTCCAGTGGCCTACAAATGGGCTTTGGGTCTCCACTCTGCACTCCCCCCCTCATTCACAATGTTATGAATTTTTGTTTCTTGATGCCTGATACCTGATCCCTTTGACACCTCTCGATCGCACAGGCTGCTGTGCTTCTTCCATGTGGGCTTTTTTCTTTTGATCTAGATAGCCACTTATTTACCTTCAAACTTTTAAGATCCTAGACCCTATATCTTTTGATAGCCGGGCACCATCAGCTTTCTTCACCACATTTGCTTATTCACCTGCTTTGTCTTCAGCGATTGTGTCGGGAAGTTGAGCATCATAGAATGCCAATTTAATAGAAGAATGTATTCTTGCATTGAGGGAGTACTTGAGTGTAGATCCAATGTCCATCTGCTACCTTAATACTAAACCTATAAATATATGCAAATATATCTATTTCCCCATCCTCATATATAAATATGTTTACATATGTACATGCCTTTATTTAGACCTCTATAAATGCCCTTTGCCTCGTAGCTCTTTCCTCTATTTCCTTTGACTTTCCTCTTGTCCCACTATCATGCTCAGTCTTCATTTGGGTTTCAGGAATTCATTTCGATTTCAGTAATTCCTCTTGGTTACCTTTCCCTTGATCACACCCTACCAGGCCTCCTACACCCTCCTCACCACAGTTTTGGATCGCTTGTTGTTCCCTTGTCCCTGGGTTTGTTAATACCCCTACCTTTCCTCCCATGTCCCCCTTTCCCATGTCCACCCAAAACTGTTGGTCCTGTTGTTTTCTCCTCTAAATTGTTCATCCAGCCTATCTTATTTAGAGACACCTGTGGAGATAATAACATGCACTAAAACAAGACAAAGCAAAATCAAGCAACAATATTCAACAAAACAACAACAACAACAAACCAATGACAAAAAAACAAAACAAGAAAGAAAAGCTTTTAGTTAGTTCAAGGACTGTTTGTTGGACTTTAGGAGTGGTTTCCAGTCCAGTCTGTTGGGGCACCAAGCCCTGGCTCCAAAGTCCACCTTCGGCATTCCCTGGGGACCTTGCCTCTCCGTTCCCTTGCTGTTCTATTGCACCCCCTTTTGCCTCAGTGTGGCGGAATCAATCCGGCGCAGTTCCCACACTGTGTCTCTGGTGTTGTCTCCTGTAGCGCTATGTGTCAGTTTGCTAAGTCTTGTCTCATAGTGGTGCTGGTCTCGTCCTCTCTGTGGACTGGCTGCTCTAATCGGGAACATCTTCCTCCAGGCCTGGAGTGCCAGGATGTGCTCCACTCTCTCCTCCTCCCCCATCTTCTGCTTCTGTGCCATCCTCTGAAATAAATTCTTCTAGGGGGAGGGGCACGTTTCCACGTAGTTGGGATTGGGGCCGGCCCCTCAGTCTGAAGAAAATGTTAAGATTTCATTTCAGTTTTATCAAGAGCCTGTGTTATGTTATTGTTATATTAAAGTTCAGTGGGCAAGAATAGTATGGTCATGAGTTGGTGTAACCAAAACCAAACTCACTGCCATGGAGTTGACTCATAGTGATCTTAGAAGGCAGGATAGAACTGCCCTGGTGAGTTTCTGAGACTGGAATTCTTCAGGAGAGTTGCAAGCTCATGTTTCTCCTGAGCCATAGCCAGTGGTTTCAAACTACTGACCTTGCAGTTAGCAGCCCAATGTATAACCACTATCCCAGCCACCAGGACTCCTCTATTACTTGGTATGGTGGGGGAAGAAAAGTAGTTTAGAGATAATCATATCCAAGAGAAAGAGGGCTAGTTAGCTCCTCCAAATGGGAAATTAGGCCATTCTGAGACACCATAGCAAAGTTTGCTCGATCACTCTAGAGATGAGGCTAAGAACAGAGACAAAGCCCATGCTAGATGAGGGAAATGCAACTGGTTATGCAAAACAGATTTGGGGCTGACATAAATAAAAGGTGGGTATAAATAATAAAATATTACACCTACTTAGTTTTCCAAATATCTAACTTGGTTTGTGTTTGAGGTTGTGTCTGTAGGGCAGGAACATGTCTTTTCAATTAATATGGTGCACTGTACATTGTTAATGTCTTACACATAGGCACTTAATTAGGGTTTCTAGGCGGGAGTTGCTTGCGGCTAATTAGACTCTCAGCTCTCCTCTTGCGCACTCTAGTGTGCCTTTGATCGGTAGTTCCTGAATGCCTACAGGCTAGCTGCACCCGAATCACCAAGGCTCATTTTAAAAAACCAGATTCCCAGACCCACCCTCAGGGATTCTGGCTCACTGCCCAGCACATTTTTGAAAAGTACTCAAAGTTATTTTGATCATATCCAGGGTTGGGCAATCAGTTCTAAAGCCCTTCAAAGACTGGCTCCACAAAGCATAGGAGGCAACACCTTTGAAGTAACCGACATACTGTGAGTTACATGTTCTGGGTCCCAATATGAATTTCATTTCCTTTAGGACCACTTGACTTCCTAGCACCCTGCTGTTTTATGGATACACTTTTTCTTGAAGAAAGAATCAGGGTGGTAAAACATGATGCTGGTTTGTTTTCAAATCTCAAATACAAAGTTGATCACACCACAAAGTTGCTAGACCATTATCATCATTGTGCCTCTAACGTTCTTGCTGTGTTGTATTTTTGTCAAATTGCTGTCATTCTTTCCCAGTCCACAAGCCTGTTTCCTTTCTCTGTAAGTATTTCCTTTAATGTGTGGATCCGTTTATAATGTTCGTATCCTTTTGAAATGTATCACGTTGTTGCATGTGCAGGTTTTACATTAATCTAAACGGTTTATGCTGAAGCTCTCTTCTGTTTCTTTCCTCCCTGAACACCGTTTTGTTTTTATTTTTGTTTGTTTGTGTGTTTTTTTGTTTCAGTTCACTGCTTCTAAGGGCTACATAATATCCAATGTTTTCATCTACCACATATTACTTATCAATTTTCCCATACATGGACCTCACTTTCTTCTAGCTCCCCACTATAACTCATGCCAGGATGAATTGTTATGTGTGTGACCCCTTACAAACGACACACTAATTCTTTCCATTATTTACCCAGCAATGAAATTACCGTGGGTAGGAGTATACATTTTAATTCTACTAAACACTTTCCGGAATAGCTAGACCTGTATACATTTCCAGCTACAGTTCATAAGAGTTTCTTCCACCCGATCTTCTGAACAAGCCTTGGTATTAAACATCCTTCTCATTTTGGCTCTTCTAATGAGAATTTAAAGTATTGTCTCATAGCTATTTTAGTTTATATTGCTGTGGTAATTCATGGCTTTTAGCACCTCTTCATAGATTTGTTTCAAAGATTTAAACTTCTACTTTATATAGTGCATGGAGTTGACATATAGAGATGTTTTGGTAGTCTAAAAATTACGGGCAGCTCAGTAGAGGGTTATGTTATTTTAAAATACTAGGCTCATTCCCACGCTCACAAGGCTTTGCTGACTCATAGCAATCTCCTGGATTTTTGAGACCATAACTGTTTACAGGAGTAGAAAGTCCATTCTTCCAAGGAGTTGCTGGTGGTTTTGAACTGCCAGCCCTGCTGGTCACAACCCAATGCAGATGGCCAGAACACCACCAGGACATCTTGAAATACTAGACAGCACTTCAAAATATGTCATAAGCTCCTCTCTTGCTAATGTTTTAAAAACTTAACCAACAATACCTTATCCACGTGTAATCTATTTTTATGTATGTGTGTGCTTTTAAAATTATCAACAAAATGCTTTTCATATTTCTAGACTCCTGTTTCCTCAAAGCCAATGACTTGACTCACAGTCTTTCGTCCTACCTGAAGGAAAGTAAGTAAACACTGATTTTTTTTTAAATTATTCAACCATTCTAATTATCCTATTAAAAAATAAGGTCTATCTCTTTAAATAAAATTTTCTAACTACATTTGAAATAAAACATTTACCTTTAAAATCAATTCTAAATGGAAGCTTTTTTTAGCTCCATCTTGATTTTCATCTGTTCTTATATTTTCATGTTTAGCAATGAGAAGCATTGGTCTAGCATTAGAGCGAACACCATCTCAATCACAGACCCACCACTGATTTGCTGTTTGGCCTAAGACACGTCACTGAGTACTCACTCCCTAGCCTTGGTTTTTTGTTAACTCAAAAATAAAGAAGTTGGGTCATGTGATCCGGACCTGTATACAGATATTTTTGTTCTTAAGCAATTTGATTTTTTTCCAATGCATATTAATTATTAGGGTGGCCAGGAATAACTAAACATTTCCAGCTACAAATAATTTAGGTGTGGAGATTTAACATTCTAATTTAAAGGTCTAAACAATTTAAACAATATCTGGTTTGAATTCATAATACCAGTTCTACCACTTACAAGTGGAATGCCCTTGTCCTTCAAATTCAGCCTCAAATTCAGCAAATGTAAATGTAGACGGTAATGGATTAAGAGGACTAGAAAAGGCAGTACATATAAAATGCCCAGCCCAGTGTCAATATTGATGCTTGTTACTCTTTAAATGTCTGTTCCATTTCAGATCTTATTCCGGGTGTCCCTTTAACATGTAACATTGTTGAGTAAGAGTTATTTTCTTGTGTAGCCACCATTGCCTCTGGCATCAAACATAAAATATCAAAAATGAATTATTCCACATATCTTTACTAAGCTCTAAAACTAATCATATGTAGCTCCTTGGTGTGTTATACATGCTATAGATTATTAATGATATCTCATTTTCAAGCTAATATCTGGAACAACCAGAGATGAGAACTTAAATGTTTTTGGTTGCTTTTGTTTGTTTTTTGCTTAAATATTTGGAGAATGTGCAACTCTGAATACCCTACCTTGATATATCTTAAGTAATTTATGTGTTTGCATGACATTTTTTCCAGTCTGTCCTAAGTGGGTAAAACTTCGGAAAAACCACAATGAGAAGAAATCAGTCCTGATGCTGATTATCTGCAGCTCAGCCATCCGAGCCCTAGAGCTCATTAGGTATGAAACATTCTTTACCTGTGCTGCTTTGTAAATGTTTTCTGAGCAACTCTGTGTCACAGCTGAGTTATGTACTGGAGCTGTAATAGTGAGCAAACCAGACAGGGTACCTTGCCCTCTATGGAGCTTATACTCGTTAGGTAGACAGACAAAACAAATGATTAATATGTATGTCAAATAGTAGTAAGTTATATAAAGAAAAAAGTAAAGCATGATAAAGGGATAGAAGGAAATGGGTACTTTTTATTTGTTCATTTATTTTAAAACTGTTTTATTGACATGTAATTCATGTCATACAATTCAATAATTCAGTCATATTAAAATAGTTATATAATCATCGCCACAGTTTTAGAACATTTTCTTCTTTCTTTTATTCATTGTTATCAATTCCCCACTTCCCCCTAACCTCCCCTGCCATACCCCCCAAGAAGCTATCAATGCAGTCACTATCTTTATAGGTGTACCCATCTTGGATTTCATATGCAGAAAAACAGGAAAAAAATGCAAAAATAAAAGCCACTGCACTCTGCATGATAGCAAAGCTATTCACATCTCTGGACTGTGGTCAGAGGGGCTAAAACAGAGGCTTAATCCATGTGTGGACCCTGGAAATGGATTTGGGGCTCCCACTGTCAATCCATAGCCTTATGCAAATTGGGTGTTCACAATTTAAGCTCTGATACCATTCCTTCATTCAGATTTGGATTTTATTGTTTATAATCCTTGGATCATTGAGGCTGGTGAGCTTTTCTTCATTCAGGGCCTCACTGATGCCTCACTTAAGAAAGATAATCATAGAAAGCATCACCAACAAGAGAGACTGAATTCTACCCATACACTTCACAGAGGTTCAAGTTGACAGAAAATCTAAGAGCAACAATCACTTTGGTTTGCTGTATGAAGAACACACCATAAGAGGCAAAGGTAAAAGCAAGGGATAGTGTGTATGGCCTCCAGTGAGCTACTTATCTCCATCATGCCTCCAAATGAGGTCATCAAGCTGCAACCCATTTGACAGGCTAAACTCCACCACTTCACTCTTAATAGTCTCAAATTTGCACCCGATTATGTAACTACCACAGGATCATAGAAGCAGCAACCATTTAGAAGAGAAAAAATGTTTTCTGTGTAACTAATACGTGTCAAACTGATTCGATGTAAGATGATAACAAGAAAAGATAAAATGCCAAGAAATAAGCTCTTAAAAAAGTCTATGCAAAGAAAGCATCATGTAAAGGACAAAGAAGATCTTGAGCAAACAGAAGGCCTGCCTTTTTCTTGAATAGGAACACTCAACATTGTAAAGAGATCAGTTTTCTCTAATATAATCTACGATGCAATTTGTGGAGAATTGTTTTTTAAACTAGTTATACTAATTTTAATTCATGGAAATATGCACCAGAAAAAATAGCCAGGGATGTTCTGATAAAGAATATTAATGAAAGGAGATGGTATCTATCTTGGTTACTAAAAACAAAGCAGAAACAGTACTAAATCCTAAGAATGAAAATAGTGTGGGCCCACATATGCATGGAAAGTGTTTGCCTTTCAAAGCATGGCAAATGACTAAGGTGACAAATCAGTAGGAAAAGAGATTGTTTCACAAAGGGTGTTGGAACAACTAGGTGGGCGTTTGGCAAAATAAAGTTGGATCCATGTTCTCACTTCTTCAACTACAGTAAATTCCAGAGGAACCGAAGATTTAAATGTAAAAGTTATGTTTGAAAGATGATTTGGCAGTGCTTTACTTAGAGCTTTTCATGTACTGTTGTTTGTGCGGCATAAATAAGGGGGTTCCCCTGGCTCTGTGATCACAGTCAACGTACACAGAAGAGCCATCAGAGCAAGACAAGACTGACTGGGACCAGCTCTCTCCAGGAGCCAGGCTCCTATGGAAAGAAAGGGAAATCCAAGTCACGAAAATAAACACTGTGATCAAATAGACTAAGGTGGAAATGTAGAGGCTGACTGTTGACTTCACACCTTTTTTAAAAATAAAAATAAAAACTGAGGCATGAAAAGTAGGTGTTAAGCTTTATTAATAGCACATCCAACCCTCCTCTTCCCACCCAGACACCCACACTGAATATGATCACACACCCTCCAGCATCCCAAGAGGGCTTCTTTCAAGTTCTTCTGCTGCAACCATAATTGACCGCCAAGATTCCAAATGTTTCTAGTCGAGAAATCACAGGTCACACTGCATTTCTGTGTTTTGATAAGTCCCACCGTAGAACTCACTTCGGAATCAAGCACCTAGAGACAGCCCCTGAGAAAGAAACCGTCAAGTTGATATCTGTTTTTCTGCATCGAGTTCCTTCTTGAAGCGCAACCTTGTTGCCACACATCCTCGACCAATTGTCAGGGTGTTTCTGTGATTCCAAGCATATTACTATGCATTTTCAAGGCTAGGTGGTTTGGGAAAGGGGATTTCAGAGCAGACATAATGAATTCTGTGCATCAACATCAACTTTGACTAGTTCTAACTTTTGTAGGAGCCTTTGTTCTCCTGAAACCCATGAGTTGTGTTCAACATGCCCCACAATTGCCTTTCTAATTCACTTTGCCATGGAGAAAGCTTACTTGTAAGTGAAAACTCAAGTACAATAAAATGGAGAGCACAATTACCTATTTTGCAGACTCACATCTTCCTACTGATCAATAACATTGCTCAAATCCTATAATAATATATAAAGAATTCCCAGGCAATATTCTTATGTTTGGTCTATCTGCAAACATAGGTTACAAAGATATTATTTGTTTGTTCGCTTGTAGTTATTTTGCCTAAAAAAAGTAATGAATAAGGCGATATATAGAAATACATACGATAAGTATAAAATATGTGGAAATGGAGGCAAAGGAAGAGTCCTTTGGATACATAGATTTTCCTCTGTGACAAGCACAGTGGCAGTGTTCTCAGGGTCACAACCAGAGTAAAATGACCAACCACTGATGTAACATGCCCACTTGTGGATCTTCTCTTGGTTCAGTCTGAGCGCTTGCTGCCAAAGCTGAATTAGTAATGGCAATGATAGAAGGCACCAACCAGCATGATCTCAGGAGAGCTTACATTCTGGATTGATGTAGGAAAATCCAGAATTTTGAATAGCTTTTTGGTGGTGTAGGGTAGGCCTGAGCTGCTAACCACAGGTCAGAAGTCCAAACCCACCAGCCCCTCTGCAGGACAGAGATACAGCTTTATAATCTCAGAAGCCCTCTGTATGGTTGCTATGGGTCAAAATCGACTCAGTGGCCGGTTTTGAATATAAAAATCTAGATTTCAGCCTTCTTTGAAAATCAGGAGGCCCTGTAACACTGGGCCTGTAATTTCATAGCATAACAACTGGCTACACGGTCTAAACAGGGCACACACTCCTGTTCTCCTCAGTTCACACCCTGCCTCATACTCCCTCATTTGTTTTTGCTCCCCACCTGCTCGACTGTCTTGGAGGTGGCCATCCCTTTGGACAATAGTTTTCTTCCCTTCTCTCTTCCTCGCTCTTCTTCTTGGCAGAAGCCTTCCCATAAATAAACTTTTACAGAGGAGGACTCTGCTAAGTAGATCAAAATGAAGCAGCTCTGAGTGAAACGGGGTATAAACCTTCCTCTCCATCTTGTCAGTTCAGCCCCAGAATTTCCCCCTGCCAGCCACTGACAGACTCCGGAGATGCCCTGAGCTCCAGAGAGTGGGCCTTGCCATCACTGCTTAGAGAACTTCCCTAAAACCAAAGGTGTGATGAGAATTGCACTGCAGAATTTGAAGATTAGTCTATGCCAGGGACCTGAAATACCAAAGTTTTGTATTATAAGTGACGAATTTAGAGCCAAGGAAGTTAACCTTTGTGTTTGCTCCTTCCAAAGTTCCTGAAAATAAATTTTTGAAAAATTTGTGTGTGCATGCACACATACACACATACACAAGCATGCATGCATATGTGCACATTTTCTTTTGAGTAAAACAAAGCACAAAACTTAAGTAGTCGATTTTCCTGGAATGAATGGGTTTTCTCATGCATTTTTCTTATCCTCTTTATTAGGTCGATGACAGCATTCAAAGGAGACAGCAAAGTTATGAAATTATTTGCAAAACACATAAAGGTCAGTAGGAGCCCGAGGACACTTCTAGTGATCCCCCAGGTCCTCTTTCAGACACCTGGCCTTTTCTTTTCAAGCTCGTCTTACAGCAAGCTGATTGTTTTGATGTGTCCTCATTATATAGATATTCTGATGACACAGTGGGTTACTTGATGGACAGTTCAAATCCACCAGCTGCTCCATGGGAGAAACATGAAGCTTTCTGCTCCCATAAAGAGTCCCAGTCTCAGAAACCCACCCGGCAGCTCTGCTCTGTCCTTGCAGGGTCACTAGGAGTTGGAATCGACTGGGTGGCATTGAGTTTTTAGCTTCCTTATCTAACACATTTCAGAAGCATCCTGGTTTTCTTTGAGTTTCCCCCACCTCCACTTAATTATCACTCCTCCAAGGAACCCTCCATCCTCTGGAATTCCTGTAGAGAAGCTGAGGGCTGATTCCTGAATGCTTAAAGCAGGCGTCCTCAAACCACGGCCTGCCGAGGACATTTATCCGGACCGCCGGGTGGTTTTGCCCTGTTTGTTTTTTTACTTCAAAATAAGATATGTGCAGTGTGCATAGGAATTTGTTCATAGTTGTTTTTTTTTAACTATAGTCCGGTCCACTGTCTGAGGGACAGTAAACTGGCTTCTTGTTTAAAAAGTTTGAGGTCCCCTGGCTTAAAGGTTCTACCCTTGGGTGATGCTCTTCTGTCTCCCTGCTAATCCTCTTTGTCCTGGATGTTTTGGCCCTAAACAAGCCCTCCTTTGCTTCTTACTTCACTGGCCTGGGATCACATTGTTTAATGATTCTTCTCTTTCTTCTTTCTTTTCCAAATCTTCGAATAGGTCCAGGAGCAGGTGAAGTTGCTCGAGAAGCATGTGGTGTATCTGGGTGTAGGCACACCAGGACGGATTAAAGAACTCGTTAAACAAGGTAGGAAAAGAGGTGGTGAGAGTCCTCCCCAGAGCTGGGAGTCTGCCTTGCCTGAAGGACTGTTTTAGAAAACCATTTGTATTGGGCCAGGTTGTCTAGAGAAACAAATCCGTTAACATTCACCTATGTATAAGAAAGAGTTTTATATAAAGAAGTAATTATACATCAAGAAGGCAGCCCAGCCCAGTCAAACCCTGCAGCCACATGCAATGATACAGAATGCAGGAAGATCACAAAGTAGTGTGGATGTAAGGTCAGTGGAAGCATGGCAGGACACTGGCAGCTCTCAGGGTCAGGGGCAGAGTCCCAGCAATCAGGAAGACAAAGGAGCAGAGAGAGAGGGAGGCTCCCCATCTCCCAGTCCTGATCTCACCTCCCTGCCTCTTATAAGAAGGCCATCCCTAGCCCCCAAGGAGGCATCATCAGGCTGTGTGTGACCCGATTGACTGCTTGGGTTCCAGCCATACACTTTCATACATCTTCCAGATCACAGAAAATCATCCAACTTCCACACCATATTAGTTATTATTGAACTCAGACTTATGAGTTAACTCGGGGGTTGGAAGCTCTGCCTTCAAGCTGTAAAGCAGTGCTTCCCAAAGGGGGTGATACTGCCCCCTATGAAGGGGGCTGAAAAAGCAGATACCTACACTTTATCATGGATCACAGACTAGAGTACAAAGATTTTTCATTGCCAGGGGGAGAGCACTGAGTAATTTTTTTTTTCTTTTTCTAAAAAGGGAGTGGTGGGCCAAGTATGTTTGGGAACCTATGCAAGTCAGCCAGCAGGAATGACAGGGACTAAGGCAAATCCAAGTCTGAAGGGGCTTCAAAAATTCCTTGGAAAAACAGAATTTTAAAATAGGGAATTCTTCCATGAACGCTTTGAGGCTCCCTTACACATGTGCCTACTAAGTACATTCATATTCCAATTTCTTTAAGCAGGTTATTGAATCCAACATACTTCATTCTACCACTTGTCAACCTCTGGATTTTGTAGTTACATGTGGTCAACATTTTCCTCTGACTTCACCGAGTCGTGGCTGAAGGCTGGTATATAACATATGTTGGAACAAAAATGCAGTTCCTGTGAATTAAATGCAGGTATTTGGAATATTTTTCCAAAACAGATTTCCTTTTTTATGCTCTACCCAGAAAATATTTCAGATAATATCCACTAGTGATTGTATACCTTAGTTGAATTATTCAAATCCAGTAAGCTAAAACCTTGCTAATCTGCTGATGTTCGACCTGCCAGCCAGTTTTACAGAATTCACTTTCAAATTACTTATTTAATACACTTTTTTATAAGAACATTTTTATAAGTGCCTGAACTTATTCCTAACTTTTCTTTTTCTGTATGTACATGGAACTAATATTAATCTAGCAAATCATCAATATAGCAAATATCAATATAGCAAATCAGTACATGGTTATTTGCCAGGAAGCCAATACTGAAGAGCCTGTTGCTTCTCTGCAGATGAACACCATCCAGAATTAATTAATACTGAACATATGTAGGGTTCATGCAGATATAGTGACCCCAGACCAGGAAAGGAAACAAACATTCCTACCTCTCCTGGGAGCCACAAAGACGCCTTTACAGGTGTCATCTCCCCTAGTACCCACAGCCACCCTGCCGGGTGACAGTTTTATAAAGGAAAGCCAGGTCAAGTGATTCCCACAGATCTCACAGGCCAGGCCTTCCTGGCCCCCAAATCTTTACTCTTCAGGGATCTTCTGATCCAGATAAGGAGATAGATGCACATAAAATGAGATTGGCAACACTGCGTAGGATGTACTGGGTGCTACATGCATGCTTCTGATTATAAAGCCTGTTGTCATTTTGCCGTCAAGTGGTATTCACTCCTGGTGACCCCCCAGTGTCCGAGTAGAACTACTCCACTGGATGTTCAAGGCCGTGACCTTTTTGAAGGTAGACCACCATGCCTCTCTTCCCAGGCATCTCTGGGTGGGGCCCAACTGGCAAGCTTTAAGCCAGTAGGCATACATCTAAATGTTTGTGCCAGGCAAGGATTCTTTTTTAAAACAAACAAACATTTTTATTGGCACTTAGTCCACATTTCACACAATTCAATATTTCAAGCATATGAAGAAGAGTTGTAAAATATGACCACAATCAATTTTAGAATGTTTTCTCCCTGCCTTCCCACCAACACCGCCCCCCCCCCAATGGTCAAATCACTTGTAAAATGAATTGTATAAGCACCATCAGTTCTTATGCTCCCTCCTATATACATTGCTTGCTGCCCCAACCCCCTCACTCTCCCTGCCCACCCCTACCACCCATATAAACCCTTGTGATATTTTTTTTATCTTTTTATTAGGGCCTCATACAACTCATCACAATCCATACATCAATTGTGTAAAGCACATTTGTACATTCATTGCCCTCATCATTCTCAAAATATTTGCT